TGGGACAAGAGAAGCACCAGCTTGCAAGCTATTCCCATAATAAAATTTTGACCTAACTTTGACTTTGACCCATGCCGTTCTATGATGACTTTATCTCAAAATGATCATCTCAGGGGACATCCACTAAATTTATAGATCCAGAACAGTCACCGTGATTGCCGGTATCACTCGTTTGCAGTCAGTGTGCGGCGTATGGTATTATCTTCCATCCGATTTAGTGTGTGCTCCTGCAGTTGAACTATTTAAATCCCAACCTAATGAAGCATTGAAACACTTAAAATTTCAACAACCGTGAGTGATCATACAAATTGTTATTATTATTATTTTGTCTTTGTGAAGTTATTCAGAATATTCTGTAAAACTCCTATGAGGCATGATAAGCTTTAGCTTTGTTAAATCGCCCATAATAAAACTTTGACTTTGACATGTTGTGAAACAATTTGAAGACGTGTCTGTCTTTAGGGTAGACTGCTGAGTGGCCCCACGTCTAGTACATGGAGATCTAAAAATCCCAGTGGTATACGTCTACAAGATGGTGCCGGGTAGAGGAAATTTTTACATTTCGAACAACGATAACGGTATCGGCAAATTGACTTGCGTACAAAAAAGTCTTATTTGCAAAAGGTCTTCAGAATTCCCACAAGCAGATAGTATAATTAGTGGAACGGTCCGACGGTGAAGGTTCATTTCCAGTAGTTACCATTTTACACACAATAATTCGCTCCGAGAGGTGTCGCTCATATTTAACCATAGAGAGAAACAGCCAATCACGTTTTTTGCGCAATCCAGACATACTACTCCCGACAACAATAAGCCCATGCGACACCGTATACTTTCCGGATTTTTCCGAATCTCACAGGTGGCTTGCGCTATGATATTAGAAAACTCAGAGTGTCAATGAGCTGAATAAATTATCAACATTTTCTTGGTCATAGTTTTAATCCTGATGACCAAAACAATACGAAAAAACGCTTCGCAGATATCTTTCGGTGGTGCAGTCAGTTAGTTACAGATAATTGCATGGTTTAGTTACGCTTTGAATACTGGAACATCGTCGATTCCACCTTCCAAATCCATTGGGAAAACTGTTAATTCGGCCCCAAGTATAATATTACTTTGTCTAATAAACCGGGAAGTTCTCAGGCTATGAGTCATCGTGAAATGAACAGCCTAGCAAAATCTAGAACCAGCTGAACTCGCACGGAGTGTCTTGCAAATACATCATTGCCCTCACTTACAACAATCTTCCTCACGAATACTCTTTTCTTCTATTTTCACAAGCAAAACAAACAGGTTTCACCGCTAGACTGAAGTGGTTTTGCTTTCTGGAGAGTATCCTAATCCTGATCCTAATGACGGCATTCTGTTTCCACACTCAGATGATGTCTGCCTGATGGGGCAACCTGAATTTCCACAGAAATGTATTAAAACATACACAAAAGTTAACAAATGTATTTGCTTTATTCATTTCAATACATGTATTCGGAGTATTGTTATGGTTCGTACTCGCAGTAGTATTTCGTATACGTATCGGATTCCGCGCCCTTATAGTCCGACCCAGAACTAGGACTCGAAACGAAATCAGAAGTCAGCTCAGAGGCGGAATGGAATTGTAATAGGCGGAAATTAGAAATAAACAAGGATATCGGGTTCAATAAAACAAACGAGTTCATGAGNAATCACCACAAGTATGCGGTTCGCTAAAATACCTCATGATGGTTCTGATGATACCTATCGCTAAAGCAGTATTTCTCAGATCCCAAAGTGGTCATATTATGAAAGGCCCGAAGCAAAATGTCACTACTATCGAATAATCTATAGTGGATATCTGTCGTGAAAATTACTTATTGTATCTGCAGCAAAACCGATTTGTAGATAGCGATTTGGACTTTTTAGAATCTGACTATTTTGAGGTATCCGATGCAACAAAATATAAAACCTGCAAAAGACGTGGAAAAGAAAAGTAAGTTGAAAAGACGCATAGAAACATGGTACACAGTGATCAGTTAAGACAAAGCTTACTTAATTTTTCCGCACCAGAAGATAGAAGTTTAAATAATCTAATAAATTTCGAGATAATCAGCAGCTTATGTGGTATTTCACATGAGTATGCAAGCTTTTAGATACCTCTAAAGTTATGTGTGAACATGCATTGTTTAAGATGTTCGTGTAGCGGATGAGAGGCGCCGTTCAGTATGTTGCCGCAAAATGATTCGAGTGAATTTAAATGGCTGACCATGAGAAAGTAGCGAAGTTCATAGTGTGAACTACACTATGAAAAAATATGAGTCATTCCATTGGAAACCTGCAAAGTTTATGTGACAAAGTATGAAAGTAGGACCGCGTCAGAGCACGCCAATCGCATAAGCCAAGTTCTGGGGACACCTCAGGATCTTATACAAAGCACAAAAACAGGGTAGTCTGATGGTTTATAACGTATTTTTTACTTTTATGTTCTTCTATTGCATATATATTGATAAGAGAAATTTTCAGGAAGCGATGAGTGCCCAACCAAAGGGGTTAAGATGTGTTAGAACCCAGTAGGAGCATGTAAAGGGGTTGCATCCAGCAATTGGAGCAATTTTACGCGAGGCACGGTTTGATCATCTGATGAAAAACTGATGAAAAGTTTTACGTTGTCAACTGTCTTGGAATTAAGAAATCATTTCGGTTAGATTAATGGATAGGCAAAAGAAAAACGGAAGATAAAGATAATTGAAAATTCGGAACATGGGTGAATGTTACACTTTGATTCAATAGCAATGACTCAATAGCATACTTATCTCATTCGGTATCCGGAAAATCACAACACTCAGGAGAGAAGAAGCAAAAGAAGACAAAATA